AAGAAACTCCCCACAACATATCATAGTAAAAACACTAAATGTACAGAACAAAGAGAGAATACTGAAAGCAGCAAAAGAAAAACAACAAGTCACATATAAAGGGAAGCCCATCAGAATTACAGCTGACTTATTCAATGCAAACCATGAAAGCCAGAAGAGCCTGGACCAAGGTATTTATAGTTCTACATGACAATAGATGCCAGCCTAGAATACTATACCCAGCACAAATGTCTATTATAGTTCAGGGGGAAAGAAAAATCTTTCATGACACAAACAGCCTGAAAGAATACATGTCCACAAAACCAGCCCTTTAAAGAATACTTGAAGCAATACAGAGAGCAGAGAGAGGAACAACTATTCATTGGGGCAACAAAAAAATGAATAAACAGACATAATCTAGGAAACATAAAATTAGACAGACTAAGTGAATGCATTAAGAAAAAAAAATCCACCTATTTGCTGTCTGCAAGAAATCCATCTCACTTTTAAGGACAGCCACTACCTTAAGGTAAAAGGATGCAAAGAATATTCCAAGTAAACAGCACTAAGAAACAAGCATGGGTTGCAATTCTAATATCTGAAAAAATATACTTCAAAGTAAAACTAATCAGAAGAAATAAGGTGGGTCATTTCATTCTGATGAAAGGAAAAGTAAACCTAGAAGATATTACAATCCTTAACATATATGCACCAGATAATGGTGCACCCAAATTCATAAAAACAACACTACAAGACTTTAAGACACAGATTAACCCCAACTCAGTAATAGTAGGGGACTTCAATACCCCACTGTCTCCACTAGACAGTTCAACTGGACAAAGAATAAACAGAGAAACGTCTGAATTAAATGATACCATACATCAAATGGACCTAACAGACATCTTTCGATTATTCCACCCAAACACTTTCTACTCAGCACCTCATGGAACTTTTCCAAAGACTGACCACATACTGGGCCACAAAACAAACCTCAACAAATAATTCCACGCATTCTATTGGACCACAAAGCAATTAAGCTCAAAATCAACACTGGACGAGGCCCTCGTGGCAATTGAACAACACACTCCTAAACAATGAGTAGATCAAAGGAGAAATTAAAAAAGCAAAGAATTCCTGGAATTCAACAAAAAGAACAAAATACAATACAACACAACCTCTGGAACACATTAAAAGCAGTCCTAAAAGGGAAGTTTATAACTTTAAATGCCTACAAGAAAAAATTAGAAAGAGCCCAAATAAATGACCTAACATTGCAACTCAAGGTACTGGAAAGGCAAGAACAAATGAAACGCAAACCCAGCAGAAGAGAAGAAATAACAAAAATCAGAGGAGAAATTAATGAAATAGAAACAAAGAAAATAATACAAAGAATCAATGAATCTGGGGATAGAGCGATGGCTCAGTGGTTAAGAACACTAGTTGTTCTTGCATAAGACCTGGGTTCAAATCCCAGTACCCACAGGGCAGCTAACAACTGTCCATAATTCCAGTCCTAGGGGATCCAACAGCCTCTTCTGACTTCCACGGGCATTGCATGACGTGGGTGCACTTCCCTACATTCAGGCAATACACGAATACACATAAAATAAAAATAATAAGTAAAATTAAATTAAAAAAAAAAAGAATCAATGAATCTAAGAGCTGGTTCTTTGAAAAGCTAAACAAGAGAGACAGACCCTTAGCCCAGTTAACCAAAAGAAAGAAAGAAGAAATCCAAATCAACAAAATCAGAGATGAAAGGTGAAACATCACAACAGACACCCAAAAGATCCAGACAATTATAAGGGAATATTTTAAAAATCTATACACTACTAAATTTAAAAATCTAAAAGAAATGGATGGATATCTAAAATCAAGGGAACCATCAAAGTTAAACCAAGAAGAGATCAACATTTTAAACAGACCATTAACATATAAGGAAATCGAAACAGTAATACAAAGCCTCCTAACAACCTTAAGAGTAAAAATAAATCAGTTTA